CCCCCCCCCCACCGGTCACGAACAGTCTTTTTCCCCCGATTTCGATTTGTCGTGTTGTCTCGTAACGTTTTTGCGCCCACGAACATAATAACAATTCGCACGTTTTACCGTCCAACGTCCGAGTGACCGGAGCCGCGTGCGTTTTACCGACGCGGATGTTTTCCGGCCGCGGTTGGTTTACCCACTGCACGCCGCGCAATAGCGGACGTACGTACGGCCATTACGGTACCGAATAGCCGATAAGGAAATCGAGTTGATCGCGACGCGAGACGGGGGTGGGGATGGGGGGGGATGTGTGGGGGTAGGTGGGATGTGGGCGTCGGGACCGGGGTCCGGGTTGGCGAACCGAATCGGTTTTGTTTGCGCGGCCGTCCGTGGCCGATAATCGATCGCGACCTGGCGCGCAAAACCGACCCAGTGTAGCGGTGTCGCGGACCGGTTCGTGCCGTAGCGAATTTCTCGATCATACTTAAAACAGCGGTGATTATTAATCATATTTATAGTGTTCGCGAAAACGGTGTAATGTACACCAATATTTTTCCCCCGACAAGAATATTACGAATACGCAATATTTTTTTACGCCGTGACCGTACGCGCGACGGACGTCGTAAAAATCGGAAAAAATTAAAAAAAAAAAAAAAAAAACATTAACGCGGCTATATGACGATGGCAGTAAGTACGTGGGACAGCAGTTTAAAAAAAAAAAAAAAAATACACCTAAGTACTTAACGATATTGTAATAATAATAAGAACAAGTCAACGTCTGGGTGTCGTACGTGCGGGTGTGTTACACGGACGGACCAGCGAAATCCTACCGTTGTTATTATTGACGCGGCGCGCGGCGTAAACACGAACGTTCATAGAACGGAACGATATTTTGCAGGTACGGAATAAAACGTTTTTTTTTTTTTTTTTCTACAACAAAAACCGAACGTCGAAAAATGTCGATTCCCCTGTTAAACGACGTCACGGGTTTACCCGCAGATGGTACGCGGTTTTTTTTTTTCTCCGCAAAAGTCCTTATTGCGCGTACCGTTCACGGGACGAACGGTATTACGTCGAATCGAATTTCCCCCGTTCCAACAGACGTCCACATATGCGACGTCCAGTACGGCGGTTTCCGCGACGACCGCCCCGGCACTGCCGATCGGTGCGGACGAATCGCGACGATTGAACCGTTTTTTCAGCTGTTGGTATCACGGCGGTTTACGCGCCGGCGGTGGGCCGCGTACGTCGCCCTAAACGCATTCATTTTGTCCGCGTTCAACGGACGGCTAAACATCCCCGGCACGCGGACGTCTAAAATCGGGTGAAAAAAAAAATAAACGGTTATCGTCGTCCGAACCCGCGGGAGACGATCGCGGTCTCCGTCCGACGCGATACGCGTTTGCTGGAAGAAAACGAAAAAAAAAACGAAAAAAAAACTGTCACAATACCGGAGAGCGGGTGACGGGATCCAAGGGTTAAACGTCGAGTTAAACTCTTGAATGATGCGATGCGCAGAATTCGCAATGCGTTTGCATGCCGTGCACTGTATAACGTCTAAAGCGACGGCGTATTTTTCGACACTGGCCACCAAGCAGGGAGACGTTGCATTTGGAAATTGTGTAATCGAGGCTAAAAAAAAATGGTGGGGGGGTGTCGGTTTTTAATTCATACGTTTTCGCGAGTGATTAACAATTCAATTCTTCAAACCGATTCCAGACAAAACCGGTTGGGCGAACATTCCGTCCTCCGAAACTGCCGAACGTTGTTTTTAACTTAAGCAAAATAACGGAGGTGCCAGCGTTTTGGATTTCTATGGCGGTAAAATCCGCCGTACAACGGTAGAATTTCGCACGGTTCGAATTAGACGGACATATAATATTATAGAATAACGGTGGAATTTATACGTTTTTTTTTTTTCTTTTTTTTTTTTTATAATAAATTCGATCCTAAAATCGGAATCCTCGGTGGTGCTATATTATGACTAATGGTGTTGGATGATCGTCGGGCGGTCGTGTCGGGCGTGTGATGCTGATGAGATTGCCCGGCCGCCGTTCGTAATGCGATCAATTTTTTTTTTTTCACGGTGTCGCCACTTCCAGCGTTAACCCTTGATCGGGCACACAAGAGCCGCAGTATCCGCCGCATCTGCCGGTTATTTTTAAGTTTTCCTGTAAAAATCCGTATACTCGGGTTAAAGATCGAATTTTAATCGCGGACTAAGATCTACAGGATGACTGGAAACGAAAGGCGGCGCGCGAGGCACTGTACAGAAAAATCAACTGGGGGGCGCGCGGTTATTGTTTTCCTCATTACTGACTCCCAGCGCCGTTTCGGCGGATTTTTTCGGAACTTGACACAACCCGTTGTCGTTGGCGAAGAGACTAATTCTAATAAAAAAAAAAAAAATCCGCTAAAACGGTACCGGGGTTCATAAAGGAAACGATCGTGACTACTGGTTATCGATCGGTAAAGAACATAATATACATTTTTCGTTTGTTTTGATATAATTTTAACTATGATATTTTGTCTACGATTTCTGACGCACCCGAAGGAATGTGCAAGGAATGTGAAAATCGGGGAGGACCGTCCAAAACTAAAAGGTCAAGAACGAATTTTAACGGCATCCCGAATTACTACAGCGTTGGACAAAAGCAAGGTTAGGTTTTATATGTGTATATAGTTTACACACGATAAACCGACTGGTTTTGTTGAAATATTTTGAAGTAATAAAAAAAAGCGTTTTGGGGCTGCCTATATTATTGTTTCGCGCTTCGTTTCGATGTAATATACAGAGTGTTGCGCTAAGACCTGACACTAACTTTTGTTCCGTTTAAGATTTTTCGGGATTTTAGAGGCCTTTTTCATAAATGTATTTTGAAAAAGTGTCTGTGTTATATATATTTACTAACTCACCGTTAGTTCCTACGGTTTCTCGAAAACAATCATTAATACAATTATATTTCACGGACATATTGGTGAACCGATTGATATCAGTTAGCAGTGACAATGGAAACAATTTTAATTATAGTAAACTTCGAAAAATTGTAGACAAATTAACCATTCCGTCATATGTAAATACTTGTAAAACCGATAGTTTTGTTTGAAATTTGTGCATTTATAAATTGGCCGTCTTGGATTTTTGTAAATATTTTTTTCCTGAAAAACCTATACTTAATAATGTACAATAATCGAAGCGCGCGGTTGTACGGCAATTGTCACGAGCAGAAAAAAACGTCCAACATATCGAAACGGAACAAAAGCTAATTCAGATATCCGGATCTCCGTTTGTAACAGCCTGTATACATATTAAAAAAAAAAAAATACAATAATAACATTAAATTCCGAAACGGGATACGGTTGCAGCGCAGTCGTTCGGGGAAAAAACTCGTGAAACACGAGTAGGTAAACGGGAAAGGGGTAGGGAGGGGGGGGCGTGGTCGTGTAAACGCATTGTTGTATGGCAGCGCGAGGAATGCCCGCGGAGCCCGAGGAATTTCGGAAAAAAAAAAGAAAGATTTTATCCGACGATAATAATGTTTCGGTTTGTTATTGTCGTGATGATAATATAACATGGGTAATATAATATTTACGTTTATCTTGTTCACCCAGAACGACGCGTCGGACCCTTTTCCCACCCAGGTGGTGCCGTACGATACACGCATGCCGGTTTTCGTCAGGTCGATGCTAAACCTGCCCTGCGGACAACCGCTTTTCGAGTTGCTGTAACAATCGCCCGCCTCGCCGAACGGCACCGGTTTGCCTTTGATCTGTTTGGTGAACGTGTAGTCTTTGGCTGCAAATCAACGAGATCAATTATTATTATTCATATTTTTACCGCCGACGATCCCGCTACCGGTAGCATTTTTCTTTCTATTTTTTTTTTTTCCTACGAGTTGGACGCTTCAAACGGTTATTGTAGAACCAATGTTGGGCATCGTGGAAATCGATTAAATACAATTTGCGCGAAAGGAAAAAATTCGGGAGTAAGGGAATGGGGGGGGGGGGGAGGTTATTACCTCTTAAACTCTCCCCCCACCTCCTCGATCCCGTCAGTGTATTATCGATTCCGAAGATTCCGCGATTGTCTACACGCACGAGAGAAGTCAAAACGTGCTATAATGAAACAATACATTTGTGGTAGCGTACCCCTGCTCAAATTCAAAAGCGGAGTGTCCCGTCGAACGGGTCGACGGAAATCAGAAATTTAAAAATGCATTTACGTATGTACTCCACGATCTATTTACAGAATTTTTTAAAAAGTAGCAGGCGGTTTCACCCCTTAGTATAACGGCGACAAAAACAAAAGAGTAACGTAACATTTTAGAATTACTAAAAAAAAAAAAAGCCAACACTCTCCGAGCTAATGAGTGTTTTACTACGGTACGTTCGACCATCCCTCGCGGATCGAAATCGCGAAATTTCCGCGATCGCGTTGTAATCATATTAGAATAAACGCAACATCATTATTATTGTCGTGTGGTAATTGTTCACTCACTGTCAACCCTCATCGAGGTGACGTTCAGGCGGATCTTTTGGAACACGGTCAGTCCGGACGACGGTACCGGCACGTTGTCGCACGGGCAGTTCTGACGGCGTTCCCCGTTGAACGGGCACGTGGCCGGGTCTTTCAGCCTGGAAAAATGAAAACGATAACATTTTTTTTTTCCAACATATTTTTGTTTCGGCGTCATAACGGAACGCGGGCGCGGGACAGGTCGGGAATTGCATTTTGAAAACGGGCATCTTGAAAAAATCATTATTAAAAAAAAAAAAAAAAAAAGAGCTGACACTGTTGTGGGTGAGAAGTTGAGAGGCTGGGGCACATAAGAGGTTATTCAATTTATATCTGTAAGCACCGGTGAACCGTGGACTTTTTTCCCTTGAAAATATTGTATTGTCCACGCGTTAAACAATCGATTGTCCGTGGGAGTGAAAATGTACGTATAGTCTGTGGTCTGGGGGGAAAGGGGGTCGAGGCTCTTGGGTCCCCCTTGGATCCGCCGCTGCATGGGCGGTCGAGAGCGGCGCCGGGAGAGTTTGGCGGGCGAGTAAGGCGAGCGGGATTCCGGACGCGAGAGCTTCGTGCCACTGTTTTGTAGCGGGGAAGTTTCCAAAGTAGACAAACAGGACGCAGGGCGAGCTCGTGATCCGCGTTGCAGCCGATGTAACGCGGGAACCGATCGCAATAAAAAACAACGTATCCCCGTCGCGTGTCGCGTGTCGAGTGTTTTTTTTTTTCGCCGTTTTCATATGTCTTTGAAATGTGTGAAATTTAATAGCGTTCGGTATTTCGAAAAACGTTTCATCCGGGGTCAGACAACCCGCCGCTTCTTTTTAGGCGCGTCGTAAAAAAAAAGTCGTTAGCGTATGTATTGGAAAACGCGAAACATCAAACGGGCAAAAGTCTAGGCAATAAAACGGGGGGGGGGAGGGAAATCCGGTTGACCAAGACTAACACGAAATACCTCTGATCGTAGATTTCGGAATAATTTTCGTTGTCCCTGGGTAGCGTCAGGTACTCGGTCGGTTTGCCGGACCGCATGCCGTGGCAGTAGACGGACACGTCGCGGTCGAGAATGTTGAGCACGTACTCCTTGTCGGCGGCCGCCGGCTGTTTCTGAAGGATTTCGGCGCACGACCCGTGGCCGACGCACCGGCGCTGGTTGCACTTGCGTTTTCTGGGCGGCCGGGTGGCCCGGTCGCATTGGCGGCGGTGCACTATTTTGCCGGACCTCTTCTGGTAGCAGAACACGCGCCTCACCTGCCGGCCCTTCTTGCCGCACGTGTGCGAACAGTCGCGCCAGTCGTCCGGCAACCAGCCGTAGTCGGTCGCTTCGTCGGCGGACGCGACCGCGGCCACCGACGTCACCGAAGCGCACGGCGGCTGGTGTACGCACGCCCTCTGCGTGGCCGGCGTCCGGCCCACCGCGACCTGGCACCGCGCGTCCTCTGCCACCGTGTCCTTGTTGTTCCGCAGCGACGATTCCTTTCCGCCGCCGCCGTGGTGCAGCCGGCAGCTCACCCGCCTGTTCTGGACGCCCGGGCCGCAGGACGCCGAACACGCCGACCACGGCGACGTCTTCCACCGGTACGTGGCCGCCGCCGACGGTTTGACACTGCACGGCACCGGAGCCCGGCACTGTTGTACGGCGGCCGGCTTGTCGAGCCCGTCGCACTGTTTCTCCGCCATCAACGTTCCCTCGTTGTTCTGGCATTTCACCTGCCGGTGTTGGTGTCCCTTGCCGCACGTCACGTTACACTGCGCGAAGAAACGAAAAAAAAAAAAAAAACAAAACAAAACATTTTATTTCAAGTCTAAACGACAAAATTAAAAAAAAAATGTTGTTATTTTTTTTTGAATTCAAATGTTCCGAATTTCTGTCGACTTTTTTTTTTGTCGACGCATTTTCGCAGTGTACGATTCTCCAATCGACTTTTGTTTCGCGTAAAAACTTATCGATTTTCGTTATATTTTTTCGAACGCCCGGGCAACCGCGACCCATCCACCCGTTTTTCTTTTTTTGTGAATCGCGTTATTCGAATACACCTCTTAAGCGCCGCCACTTATTTGTATACGAGAACACGGGGCGTTTCAGTCCGTCGAATTTCTACGGCACGCGCGATAAAATCTCGGGCGACCGCACGCGAGTGGGTTTTTCGGATGTTTTTTTCGCGACTGCCGATTATTTCGACCGGCGTTTGAAAAGTCCGCAGTTTTCTCGACAGCAAGCCGCGATTTATTTTATTTTCGAGAAAAACACCCACCGTTTACGTGTACACCTCGCGCTGAATTTTCGTGTCGTGAAACTCGACGGACCGCTGTCACTTTCGAAAACAAAAGAAACAAAATTAAAAATTAACGCGACTTACTCAAACTCGTAAAACCCGTACGGTCGCCCCCGAAGTCTATACGACGAATACCGAACGTCTCGGGATTCGGACGTGTCATTTTTTTATTTATTTATTTTTTTTTTTTTTTTTTTTTTGAAACGCCCTGTATGATATCGTAGTTGTCACGCGGTTATATTATTATTGTTATATTCATTAATATTTTCGTCTCGCGCGCTCGTTTTTCCGTTCAGTCGCGGCGAATAAATTTTTACTACATGCGAACCGAAAAAAATGCCAACTATTTCCTACAATCAAGGCTGTCGCCGAATGCCTGCATAATTTTTACATATCAGTTATTGTCGTCGAACAATATGCACGCGGTCGCACATGCACTCGGAAAACATAATCCGATACCGTGGCGAAATTGTCGTGTATTTTTTTTTTTTTTTTTTTTTCCGTCTATTATTTATAATTGCACAGCACAGTGTGCCGCATAACGACATTTCGTTTTGAATATTTTAGTATACGCTAAATACGTATCGACACTCGCAATTGAATGCGCCTGCGCAAGTTTTAAACCGTCACATTTCCCTCTCCTTTCCCCC